CCAGGAATTGCAGGTTACGTTTAGCTCATTCAAGCTGATACCCAGTCCATAAATTCTTCTCTATATATGGTTGACTATGTGCAACATTCTGTTTGAAAACTTTCAGTCCCGTGTGTGAATGAATGCAATTTTTCTTTCCATTATATAACGTTTAAAGCTTTTGTATGTAGTACATATGATGATATGGAGATGACAATGATCATAAGTCATAACAAACATGCATATGAACTATATAATATATAAATGTGTTCACTATACTTCCATAAATCTCGCCACATAACTGTTATGCATAACGCCCTTACTATACCATGGTATTGGTTGTGACCCATCCATCTAATGGAACAACGTAACTATCCTTACTTAGCTTCAAATTCAAAATCAACTCATCAATGATTTTGGGTTCAAACTCGGCAGGTGGAAATCATGCACTTATAATAGTTGAAAAAGATATTTGAAAATTTATGAATGAATTGAAAGCTACAACTAGATGTACTGATTGGATATGATGTAATATATCATAATTACATATGGTGGATATATATGAACACAAAATTCAATGGATATAGTCTAGTGTCATCGGAGCCAGAAATTCGGTTGAGAGGGGGCGAAGAAGTACAGACAGATTCAAAAAAATTTTCCTATAAAGGCGAAACATTAAAACAAAAGAGATAATTTAAAAAAAAAAAATTACCTAAGAAATATATAGTTGTAAATATTGTTTGATATGGGCGAAAAATAAAACACATCGAAACTTTATAAAAATATGAAACATAATTAATTTGATAACATAATTTGAATAGAAAACACATTAAGCCATAGGGGAAGGAGTAAAAAAAATATGAAACATAATTAATTTGATAACATAATTTGAATAGAAAACACATTAGGCCACAAGGGAATGAGTAAAAAAAAAAAAATTTGTAAAACTACGTTGATGCTAAAGGATTCAAACCCTTGACCCTTACTATTACCTCTGCCAACTAATCTAACTCACCACTTGTTAACATTTAATAGTTTATTTATACTCATACTAAAACATGTACTATATATACATATATACATATATACATACAAAGATTATATATGGGGTGAGGGTGGCAGTTACCCCCCTCCCCCGCCCCCGCCCCCGCCCCGGTTTGGCTCCGTCCCTGAGTGTCATAAAGAATACTTGGAGTTAAATCATTCAAAAACTAAATTAATGATGAGGGCTCTATAATAACACCACTATTTGATGGCAGAATGTTAGACTTGACTTTTCAAGCTCCAGCCCAAAACTTATCCATTCATTATTATCAAAACATGCATCATTAAAATAATCTGATGTACAAGTCTTTTACAATTCAACTTTTTCTATGTTCTTTTTTTTTTTTTTTTTTTTTTTTTTTTCCAGTATATACTCGTGAAGTTGTGAGGAATCTAACGTAAAATAGTACTAAGTAACTGATTGTCGATGTTGGGCATGCCAATTCTGTCATCTCACATGGATAACCAGTTGCATCTGAGCCTTTAAGGTTATTTTCATGGCACAATATAATGGAACTAATTAATATAAGTAGTTGGTCAAGTATCAAATCACAATTAGTTGGTCAGTCATATATTGTTAATTAACAACTAACCACCTCTCTAATACAATGATCTGTTTTGTTACATAGACACACTTGTGCGCATGCTTTTATGAATTGATCGAATTCCGGCCTGTCTATAATAACTAACAACTACTTCAGTGGCCTAGCTAATTAAGGTTTATGATGCACAATAATAGCTTATTGCAGATTAATTAAGTTGTGATTATAATAAGTACTTGGCTATAATTTGGTCCTCTTAATTGCGCTGCTATCATATGCATGCATGATGCATGTAACTAAAAGCTATTACAACTGTAAATAATAATAATAATAATAATAATAGTAATAATAGTAATAATAGTAATAATAATAATAATAATAATAATAATAATAATAATAATAATAATAATAATAATAATAATAATAATAATAATAATAATAATAATGTCTTGCCAGATTTAAAACAGCTAGAATTGAAGAAGAAGATTATCTGTTTAAAATTGTTCACTTTTTTTTTTTTTTTGAATTATCAATTAAAAAAAAAAACCCCTTGTAAAAGTATTTACAAGAAAAGAGGAATTAATTATATCTGAAATTACATGGGTTATGATAAAATATTTATCAGTACGCCAATAGTTATAACTATTAGAAAAGACACAAATTGATTTCATTATACTTGAATAGCAATCAACACCACGTTTTGGTTAAAACTAATATAGCTTCTATAAATTGAAATGCGGGATTGAACTTAAAGTTAAAATTATATTTTTGTGTTGAGCTAAGATACAAAAAAAATTTACACTATTTTCATTTTCTTGTTTGGTTCATGACCCTTCACATTTTTATTACTTAATTATTGATAATGATAGTTGTCAAATTTTGATCTTAATAACAGATTTGTTATTAGAATTGTCGGTACGTTGAACAAAACGAATGGCTAGAATGAGGAGTGGTTGTTATATATATTTAAAAAATAAATTTATTTGTCTTTTAGACACAAAATTCCTTTGACATTTAAATATGATTAACTATATCATCATTAATCAACACTTTTATGCATAACAATGAATAGTAAAAAAAAAAAAAAAAAAAAAAAAAAAAAAAAAAAAAAAAAAAAAAAAAAAAAACTAGTTAATACTCCGTATTTACTTATTAGAAGTCATCAAAAAAAAAAAAAAAGTCAAATAATAGAAATATCCACCCAACATTATAAAATGTCAAATATTGAATGTATTGATTCATCATATCGTATTGAAGTGATGCAAATGCAAAGTTAATTTACATTCGACATCGTACTACGTTTTTTTACCACAAATATCAGAAATATTCCACATCCTATACCTGTAACGGAAGAATGGAATATTCGTCATCATCAATAATATAATCGCAACTAAAACTTTGACATTTACTTTAATATCCTCACAAGTATTAATTAATTTGTATTAAGCTGACATACAAAACCTTTCGATTTTATTAGTTAAATCAGAAAATTAAAAGAATGGAAACCGAATTAAATAAGGAAAGAACAATAAACCAACCCTCAAAGATTCCCAACTACCTATAATTCCTAGTAGGACGTTAAGTATTATTCAATCTGGAGGGCTTCCACTATATATATATATATATATATATATATATATATATATATATATATATATATATATATATATAGTAAGATAAGACATATATGTTATATGAAAAAAAACTATTTAATTGGTAGGTGAAAAGAAATTCTTACTTAAATTAACAATTTATTATATTATCATATATTCAACTAACAAATACATATTTGTCTGGTTATAAGCCAAAGAATATATTACTCATGTTCGTGCATCTAGTTTAAATATATGTTTTTGATGATGTTTAGCTAGAATATGTTAGGTCTTTCGTATTAATAAATGTGTGGAGTGGTTGGTGATCCATTGGGTGTCTATATTTTGGAGGCACCTTTGGAGCGTGTAAAATCGTTTAAGACGGTGAATAGTATTAATTGTATATATGTTGAGTATGATATATATATATATATATATATATATATATATATATATATATATATATACCTAATAAATGTGCAATCTATTATTTAATTAATTTGACTTTTATTAGTTGAAACGAAACACATTTTTTAGAGTTAGACTCACATTAAGAGCCCATAAAAAAAAAAAAAAAAAGTAATATGTCCGTGCACACGTGAGTAAGTATATTGAGTTCGTTGAACATATAATGACCTTGTTTGATAATATATAGTTAACTTATCAGTCAATTTTAACATATTTAACCACTATTAGTCAACCAAATGAGGGTTGAGGCGGCAGGGAATAAATTAAGTATATGCATTGTATATAGTGTATATATAAAGATAATTATATGTGGTTGGATGGAGGAATTAATTAAATATCTTAGATTCATCCTCCGCCCGCGGACGCATGCAAATGATTGAAATCATTATTGTAATCAATGGTACCACCTGAGGGTTTTTATGATAATTTATGACATTATATGAGAGCTAAAAAAAAAAAAAAAAAAAAAAAAAAAAATCACCGCATTTGGTATATTATTTGGGAATTGTTGGAGAAATATTATCAGGTTTCTTATCCCTATTTTGGTATTCGACTTATATAGCTTGAACAGCTTAAACAGATTAAGTGAGACGCATCCCAGATTGATCGATATGAAAGATCTAAGGAGTTTGTCGATTCACCGAGCTTAGCTAGGGGGTCTAGAAGGGATGAGCCGCATCCCATATTGATATGAAAGACCTAAGGATTGGTCGATTCACCCAGTTTAGTTAGGGGGTCTAGAAGGATCACCCAATGAGTATTAAAATCATTACTTCAATATTTATTAAAAAATTATGAAAATTCTAGCCTGGCATAATATATATTTTTAAAATTTCTTTGAAATTATGAGCACATTGCACATGCCAAACACAAAACACTTTGTGTTCAGATGGCATGTAGTAACATCTCCCACGTGGGAGGTTATGAGATCGAGCCTTAGTGCTTCATTAAGTTGCATTCACAATAGAAAAGAAAAAAAAAAAAAAAAAACAAAACAAATACTATAATGTAACTAATAGAGTTAGTGGCAAAAACCACCATAGCCTATAATATATAAATTATTTTTTTTTTTGGGGCTAATCCAATGTGTACATTGATAAATATCGTCTTGTGACTCTAATTGACAAAGGATTACAACGAAATAAATTAACTTAAATTATTTATAGTTAACTTTTTTTAAAAGGTTGTTTATAGTTAACTTGCTCAAATCAATAAGACTTAGTTACTTCCACCTGGATTTGAATTTGGAAGCCCTATACATGCTATGCTACATGCATATTGCACTATATTATTCTTCTCTCAACTTGACCCGAATTGAATGCACGTTATCCCCCCATTTTCCGGTCAAGAACTATATAGCACGCATAAAGACAAATTATAATTTAATTCTGGCGTTACAAGTGGACTGAACATAATACGACTGATTGATGAAAACACAAACATCACAAGTCATAAAAACCGTGGCATGAATCTTGAGGGTCCTAAGCACTTTTACCTTTCCAGGCAAGGCCGCAGACGACGTGAACATCACGCTTCCAGCAGCCATATCCTCCATGAAACTAGGATTTCCGGCGATCTTGTCGCCGGTAACGTTAGCATAAGTGGTGACGTTAATCTCGCCTCGACCCGGGACGGTGTCGTGTTCGACGGGGATTCCGGCCACAGATATGCCTCGGTAATCAAGACTGGCCGTGGCACCCTGGTACTCGAAGTCCCCACGGTTTGGATTCTTGACGTTGATGATTAAGTTGAGAGTGGCGCTTATTGAAGGGTTTGGGTCAAACCGGAAATGGACGTTTTGGAGTTTTGTAGGGTAGGGAGTGAGTATGGGGTTTTTAGGCTTGAAGACGGTGAAGAACAGAGAGACAAAAACGATGACAAGAACGACGATGGTAAGCAGAAGAACACAACAACAGATCTTTAGGCTTTTCCGTGATGAAGCTTTTCCACCGGTACCGTCGTCGTCCCTGATCTTCTGCATCTTTAATTTGCGTGAATTATTATTATTGCCGGCGGCTAGCTAGTATTATATACTTACTGCAGTGCAGGCCGGGAAATATATATATCTGTCGTTCATATAGAAAAAACAGAGCTGATATTTATTTTGTTTTGTTTTGTTATGGAGCTCATATGATATGATATGATCGATCAGCTTTCTTTGATGCCGTGAAAAGAAAGTCGATGGATTTAATGGCGTGATATAGACATGATGAGATAAGGGTGTTAGATGTACGTATCAAGGACGTTGGCATTAATCTTCTCCGTCGGTGTTGAAATATATTTTGCCTGTTTTGTTTTTGGGCTCTGGATGGATCTCTATATTGTGGTTTAGCCCATGATGACGACACACAAAAACATATAGGGGGTGTTTGATAAATGACGGTAAATTGATAGTTGTTGGCTAATTGAGTCAATGAGTTTGACTAGTTGAAAGCATTAACTTATTGTAGAAAAGTGTTTGGTAAATTAATTGTTAATTGTTAGTTGATTACATACAAAATAATTTTCTCAAAAAGCTAGTTTGAGCAACTTTTTGAATTTTAGCATTTTGGAGCAATAAGTTTGATGGCTACCTGATATTTAGGCCTAGTTAGACTGCTTAATCCCGATTAGCCCACCTAAACTCAAATTAAAAATAACCGTTAACCCATATTAATTTCCCGTTATCACCCATTAAATCATCCTATTAAAGCCTATTCAACTACCTCATCCTAACCCCCAACTTAATATCCATAACCCCCATGAAGCTTCATTATTTTCATATTAAATCCTATTAATTACATACTAATTACTCCATTGACTCACCCAACGGCTAGCTCTTACTCCCTAGCTATAAAATGGTTCAAAAAAGACTCTATCACTCTTCTCTACACTAGAAGACTTCACACTAGCTCTTTTTCATTACAAGAAGGGTCCAAATATTTGAGAGAATAAGATATAACTTTATTCTTACACTACATGTACAAAATAGCTCCACAACATGTACAAAGAGACCTCCAAAATACATAGTGAATTTAGACTTGGCACCGCCCAAAAAGGCCCGTGATTTTCACCTTTCGGTTTTCACGTAAAAATCATTGAGTCATACTTCTTCTATCTTAGTAGTTTTATTTGAAAGGTGAATCCACCAACCACGGTTGTGTTGGACCTCCCTGGGCCTAAAAACCCTAAAACCAACAAAGTTGTTACAAAAAGATAATTAATCAAACACTCATATTGATTGTTTAACCAAATCAAATAGCTAATAGTGATTAAATAAGTTAAAATTGACTGATAAGCTAACTATTTTACCAAACTGGATCATAATAAGTGATCAGCCGTTCAATTGTTATAGAGCAAAAGTCCATGTTCGACTCATTCTGATTCAAAATGACATTTAGATTATGTACATACCGTTAATATAATATATACTTTCAGTTAATAAATTATATATACATATTACATGCAATAGTTAATATATTATCTACATGCAATTAACATATTATGTACCTATTACAATTATCATATTATGTAACTGCACTTAACATATTATATATATTTAATTAATAATTTATGTATATAATACAATTAGCATATTATTTTTTTTAAAAAAAAATCAATTAACATATTATTTTTCTTTAGTTTATTTACAAGTACAACATAATCAATTAACCGAATGTACATAATATGTTAACTGTAGGTACGAAATCTGAATATGGTTATTTTGCAATTGTTATACCGTGCACCACGACGCTGTTGACGCACATAGCAATGTGTGCCCCGCGCCTACCAAAACGACGTCGTTTTGTTAAGTTGTGTAGGGAATTGACACGACAGAGTGTATGTGTATTCTGGTATAAAATTATGTACATTCTGTTATATACAATTCTGTACATTCGAAACATGAAATTTTTATCCTTTAAAAAAAGATTATATGTATTCTGTTATAAAATTCTATACATTATATTATAAAATTCTGTACATTCTATTATACAATTCGGTACATTCTATTATATAATTCTGTACATTCGAAACATGAAATTTTTTTAAGAGTTAAGAGTTTATGTGTATTACATATTATGTTAGATTATGTGTATTATCATTTGAAAAAAGATTATGTGTGTTCAGTTATAAAATTCTGTACATTCTATTATACAATTATGTACATTCGAAACATGAAATTGTTTTTAAGAAGTTAACAATAGACACGAAAATATTGTACAAAACAACGTCATTTTGGACCAGGACACACAATGCATGATATAATTTGCCGTTATTTTGTACTAGAGCACATAATACACGATGGATTTGATCCATTATATAATTTGCCTCAATTGTTTGGACCGAGACTTTCTACAATGTAATTTTGGACTACGGAAGCATTGGATCGCTAAGTTATTGGGTACTACAAAGTCCATTTACAGCCCACTTTCTTTCTCAGATTTTTTTTTTTTTTTTTAATAAGGTAAACAATGATGCATAATATACAATAGTTATGCTGTGCAACCGAATGTACCATGCGCATGGTGCATACGGTTCAAAACGACGTCGTTTTGATTAAAAACGCGCGTCCTATTTAAAAAAAAAAAAATCAGGTTCGACTCTCAGCGATAGCATTATTGTGGATATAGTTATGAAATTGTGGATATATAGTTATGAAATTGTGGTTATATAGTTATGAATTTATGGATATTTAGTTCATTCATTGTGGATATTTAGTTCAATCATATATTGTGGATATTTAGTTCATTCATTGTGGATTTTTACTTCATTCATTCATTCATTGTGGATTTTTACTTCATTCATTCATTCATTGTGGATTTTTACTTCATTCATTCACTGTGGATATATAGTTATGAAATTGTGGATATATAGTTATGAAATTGTTGTTATATAGTTATGAATTTATGGATATTTAATTCATTCATTGTGGATATTTAGTTCAATCATATATTGTGGATATTTAGTTCATTCATTGTCGATTTTTACTTCATTCATTCATTCATTGTGAATTTTTACTTCATTCATTCATTCATTGTGGATTTTTACTTCATTCATTCACTGTGGATATATAGTTATGAAATTGTGGATATATAGTTATGAAATTGTGGTTATATAGTTATGAATTTCTGGATATATAAAAATACTATTGCCGGAAATCAAACCTGATTTCTTCTTTAAGTGGGACGCGCGTTTTTTTAACCAAAACGGCGCCGTTTTGCAACCAAATGCACCTTGCAAGGTGCATTCGGTTGCACAGCATAATTTGCGCATAATATAATGATTGTCTCTCAAGTCACTAAACAGGCAAACATGACCCGAACTTCTTTGGTTTCAAAAAAAATGAACCGAACTTCTTTCTTCTGTACTTCAATTTGGGCTTCGCATCCCATACTTCTACATCAAGTTCAAGCTAATATTGGCTAATATTGTCTAATAATTTATAGTACAACTTCAATCATTATTGCGTGGACCATGATCCACACAAGTTGTATGGACTATATTTTATATATTGCAAAATAATGTACATTCAGTATAAAAATAATGTACATTGTATTCAGAAGATGTACATTATTTTTGTACTGAGTATACATTATATTGTATAATGTACATATGATATAAAAATAATGTACATTTAGTATATTAAAAATGTACTTTTATTATAGTCCATATAACATTGTGTGGACCATAATTTGCGGCACACCTTCTATAGTCTAGATACATGCATAAGCACTAGCGGAGTAGTACACTATCAATTAATAATAAATTAGGAAATAAGTTCAGCCAAGTTGATTTAACTAATAATGATATACTAAAATACTTCAAAATGTTGTAAATAATATTAAGTGGACATTATTATAGTGTTTATAACACTTGTAACGGTCGGAGGATTATGACCACACTTATGGTTTCCGTTACAATTGTACATTATATATATGTGCTAATACCTTCTTGTATAGAGAGAGTTTTGGATGCAAGATTAATAAAACTTCCTTGTCTCTTATCTTGTCTCTACTTTTCTTCTACTTTTCTTATTTTGTGCCACTTGCAACTGTATTCACCGGTTACCGGTTAGGAGCTAAATGGCCAACGGGCATAATCTCCCACAACACGTTATCAGCACGCTCAAACTTGGTGAACGGTAATTTTATGTTATTCTAATGCACGTTATACTCGTTTAAAGCATATACTATCATTTTTATGATCAGTGGATATATTTCTTGAATTATATGCTTTTTAGACAATTCGTATGGTATGAATGCATGATATACATTTTTCTTTCCCGTATTAATCATAGTTGTCTAGATACCACAAAAAATGGTATTTATATTATCTCATATGCTTTACGATTTTCTCAAAAATATTTTTTTTTCGGTATTTCTTTTACATATTGCGTATATGTATATGTTTCGTATTAAAATTTTTTTTTTGGGAAAACCTTGGATTGGAGTACAAACAAAATCCATAATATGAGAATGGATTTGCTAGTGATCTTCCTTATCATAGATGGTTTTTAAAGATGATTGTCATCTTGTAGTGATCTTCCTTATATTACCTTTAATATTGAGTTCATATAGCTAGCAATGATGTGCCTTGTGCAACCAAATTGTTTCAATGACTATTCTCACATTGAAAACAAAAAAATTTGACCTTCAATTAAATGCTAAGAAATGTGATTTTGTATCATGGTTTTGGAAAAGGCATTGTTTTGTGGCAATTAGATATTGCATTTGTTTTGATTTGCCATAATAATCTTGATTATGATATGGGAATCATATTTTAGAATTCCTATTGAAATTGCTTATTCAAATTTTATGTGGTAATAATGATGATATTATGATTTTCAGTTACGATACACAAAAAAATGTTTATATAACATTATTACTATTAAGTAATATTATTTTTTTTTTTCAATTGAGAATTTCATGTATCGTAACCTTATCATCATTATTCTTGGATTTTGATATCCATGTTGGTTGAGAATGAATATTTAGATTTATT